TCTCTATAGAGACGATGACAGTCTCTAAATCGTCAGAAGTAGAGGACATGCATGTCCCGGAGGGGTTTCTCCAGGGAATCCGTGAAAAAGTGGGATGAGGGTAATATCGGCAAGTTGAAAGACCTGTTAAAGCTGGTCATAGGAAGCGGAGGATGGGATGAGGACGAAGAAGAGAAAGTGACGGATATCTTCGAAGCCATCCAGGATGAAATCTGGGAACTAGCAAGGGAAGGAAGGGGACTGTATAGGAAAAGTGTACGCCTTGAGAAGGAATTGAAATTCAGTGAACAGTTCAGGAATTGATATGGCCATGGAAATAGATGCCAGGATTAAGGAATTCGAGAGGGCTAAGAAGGAAAAAGAGAAATGGGTGATCGTAGAGAAGGCGCTAAGAGAGGAGCTCCGGCTCATTCGGGACAATTGGCTAACAATAGGGAAGAGTTGGAGCAGGCTAAGAGAAGGCCCCCCCGTGGGTGCCACCTTGTCGTGGTGGGGGGGGGGCTTGAAGATCCCAATGACGTACAGAGCTGTGCCGGCAAGGGTTTCGGCCTCTGGCAGGTTTTACCATGCCGGAGTGGTCTGTACGGAGGGACTGGACCAAGAGCACCCGACCGGACTGGTTGATCAGCCTGGTCTATGACCAGACTGGTCATGAAACGAGTGGGAGGAGACTATCACTCCTGGAGGCATTGCACGCCGGTGCTCCGGCAGCCGAAAGGGGTGACCTCCTTAGCACTCGCTTCAGGAAGGGGACCCCTCTCTCTGAGGAATTGCACGCCGGTGCTCCGGCAGCCGAAGAGAGAGGACCTGCCCCGATCTGTCCGTTATGGACGGATCGGAAGTGGAGGGACGTACCCGCTTCCAGGGCTCCACCCCATGGGGATCCTCCTCCATGGTGCCTGGGATGCGGAGGGGTACTCCGGGCCGCTCGGACGTTTTCGTGGCGGGGCCGGGGTGCCCTACTACGTTCTGAGAGGTCCGACCCTTGGAGACATTGTACGCCGGCAGCCGAAAAGGGGAAGACCTCTCTCCCTCATCCTATGGGGTCCTCCATCCGTCACAGCCACGGACCCCACACGTGTCTGCACACCATGGGGAATTACCCCCAAGGTACCCGGGGGGTGACTCAGACCGCTCGGACTTATTCCGAGGTCGGGATCGAGTCACCCTAGGGCGAAGAGGGAAAAGACCCCACCTTCGGAGGCATTGCACGTCGGTGCTCCGGCAGCCAAAGAAGGTGGACCTCCCCGCTTTCCCTCTCCCGCCTGGCCGAGGCCAGGCGGAAAGAGGAACCCACACTTGGGTGTGTACACCATGAGGGTTTGCCCCATGGTACCTGGGGGATGGAGGGGTGTGTCGGCCCGCTCAGGCGTATTCCGAAGTTTGGGTCGAGACACCCTCGTGCGCCATCGCAGAGGACCACACCCCCGGAGGCATTGCACGCCGGTGCTCCGGCAGCCGAACGGGGAGGACCTCTCCCTCATCCATTCCGGTCACGGCCGGGCGGAGAGAGGAACCCACACCCGGGTCTGCACACCATGAGGGTTTGGAACCCCTCATGGTACCCGGGGGGTGGAGGGGTGTTCTGGACCGCTCGGACGTATTCCGAGGCAGGGCCGGAACCCCTGTATGCTGTGCCTGAGGGAATGCGATCGCATCCCCTTAAAGCGGACCCTTGAGCGGCGCGAGCACGCTGGCTGCCATGGGGGAGGCGCTCCCGGTGGGGTGCGACACCGGTGAGCTACCTCCTTCCATGGGGCCCCCCGCGTGGCGGCGCTCCGTACGATGCCCATGTTGTCGGAGGCACGGGACACTCGAAAGCGGCCTGGCACCAGAAACGGTGGTCAGGGCGAGTATAGGGGACGGGAGGCCAAATGCCGGCAATGTTTATTCCGAGCCATATGCTGCTCCTCTGAGGGAACTCGAAGGCTCCTCCCTTCCAGGGGATGCGGGCACGCCCGGGCAGCGGAGCCGTACGGAGTTGTGGGTTACAAACCAAAATAAGCAACTCTTTCAATATTAAACCCAACACGGATTCGGATTATTCTATGACGACCCCTGCTACGTCCAAGGACATGAATGAATTGCACGCTCACTGCAGTTCACAAGTAGAGGGAGTAAACGCTGTGTCGAGCCAGCCGACCAGCAGACGCATGGCAAGGAGAGGCGGATGTAGGTATCTTGAAAGGACGCGGAAAAGCGTGCGCTCCAAGAAGGGGAAAGAAAAGGAGAAGAAGGGAAGGGAATTGAAACAGGTAAACCTGTGGAGAAACCCCTCCCCCAAAGAGAGAAGAGGAAGACAAAGAAGATGGGAAGAAGAGAGGAGCTAAGTAAGTAAGTGGATAGGGAAATAGTAACACAACTATCATAATGGCCATCAGACTCCTACAAGCAAACTTGCACCGCGTCCGTCAAGCACTAGCGCTCTTTGAGCACACGATGACGGAGCGCGGTGCAGGACTAGGTATCGCGGCGGACCCCATTCATGTCCCCAGAAGCCCAATGTGGCTCGGGGTCGAATTGGGCTCCGTCACGATTGTGTGGAAGGTTTAACAAAACTCCCCTCCCGCAGCCTCGTTGGGCAAAGGGAGGGGATATGTTGTGACCAGGTGGGAGGCCCTGATCGTGGTCGGGGTCTACCTCCCCCCAACAAAGAGTCTGGACCTACCAAGCTACAGGTCCAGGCTCCAAGAAATCGGGAGGGTCGTTAGACGGCTCCCTGGGCCTGTCATCATCGCCGGTGATTTCAACGCCAAATCCCAGTTGTGGGGATCCCGGGATGGTGACAGGCGGGGAATAAGTAGAAGAATGGGCCGCGGATCTAGGCCTGCACCTGCTAAATGAAGGAAATAGATCAACATTTGTAGGGTCGCAGGGGGAGTCCATTATTGACCTTTCATGGGCAACCCCTGCGGCCCTGAGGCGGGTGCGGGCCTGGGAGGTGGCGGAGAAGATGGAGTCCCTTTCGGACTACTTAATAATCGAAATGGAGTTCCCCGTCACCCCCGATGGACTGCGGCCCAGGCAGGAAAAAGTACCCCGAACAGAACGGTGAGCCCTAAGCCAGTTGGACAAAGAAAAGTTGGAAATGTTCTTCGAGGCAGCTACCTGGTCACAAAGGACGGAAGGGCGGATTTAGACCCTGGGATGGCAAACTTTATGGAAATGGTCACATGTGCATGTGACCAGGCCATGCCCAGAGTCAGATCCTGCCCAAAGAGAACCGCCTGGTAGTGGACGGAAGATATTGCCGAGCTCAGACGGCAATCGATCCACCTCAGGCGGGCATTCAGGAGACTCCGGAATAAACGTAACCCGGAGGCAGACCCCGAGGCCATTCTGGCCGCCCGCAAGGAATTCTGTGCGGCAGCAAAGAAACTGCGAAACGCAATAAGGGTTGCCAGAGGAAAAGGATGGGACAACCTCCTCCTCACATTGCTGCTGACCCGCGGGGGTGTCCGTACAAAATGGTGATGCAAAAGCTGAAGCCATAGACGCCCCCGCTTACGGAGACAATGGACCCCCGATTCTTAGAAAGTGTCATGGCAACCCTCTTCCCGATTAGGGAGGAGGACCCATTGGGACTCTATCAAATCCCTACCCCCGAACAGTAGGGGGAGGTACCGGGGATCAATGAGGAGGAGGTGGCCGGGGCCATCAAGAAAATTAAAAGCCGGAAAGCACGCGGCCCGGATGGTGTCCCCGGTCGAGTCCTGACCCTGGCCTCATACATAGATAAATGGGGTACATAGATAAATGGATGGCAAGCCTTTTCACACAGGCATTGAGGGAATGGAAGTTTCCCCCAGTCTGGGGGAGGGCCAGTGTGGTCCTCCTTCGTAAAGAGGACAAGCCGGAGGACTCCCCCTTCGCGTATCGCCCCATATGTCTCCTGGATATGAGGCGGGCAAGGTTTTCGAACGAGTGATAGCAGCCCGCCTCACAGAGCATATGGCCCGGGTAGGTCCAGACCTGGATGACGGTCAATATGGCTTCCGTAAGGGCAGGTCGACCGTGGATGCGATTCAACGTCTATGGGCCCTCACGGAGGCCATCGTGCAGGAGGGCAGGTTGGCGGTGGCTGTGTTGATATAGCCAACGCGTTCAACACCCTGCCCTGAGGTAGGGTGCTGGAGGCCATGGAAGATCATTTGGGCTTCCCGCCCTACCACACGGCTGTCATCCGGGACTATTTCCGAGGTCGGTGTCTGAATTGGAAGGATGCCGATGGCAAGATACGCGAGAGGGGGATATATTGCGGGGTTCCACAGGGGTCAGTGTTGGGCCCCTTGCTGTGGAACCTCGGGTACGATCAAGTCCTCCGGTCCGCCCTCCTCCCCGGCTGTAGCATGATCTGCTACGCAGATGACACGCTCATCTTAGCCGGGGGGAAGACTGGGGGGATGCTGTAAGAGAAGAAAACTTCGCAGTGGCTTGCACTGTGCGTACCATCCGCAGACTGGGCCTGGTGGTGGCTAAAAGAAAAACAGAGGAAATTTTCTTTCACAAACGAGGAATGAAGCCACCCCAGGGACTACAGCTGCGGATGGGGAAGGTAAGGGCCGCCATTGAGGCCCGATGAAGTATCCTCACCCTGGACGGTACCTGGTGCTTTAAAGAGCATATAAGCCGCTTGGTCCCCCGATTGCGGGTAATCTCGGCTAACCTGTCCAGGTTGATGCCGAACATCGGGCGACCAAATAGGAAGGCCCGTCGCCTCCACGCTGGGGTACTGAACTCAGTGGCCCTTTATGGGGCCCCAGTGTGGACAGAGGCCCTGGCCGTCAGCCGTCCGTTACAAGCGCTCTTGCGCAGAGCGTATAGGACGGTGGCGGTCAGGGGGGGCAGGTCATCCGGGGGTATAGAACAGTATCCCACGTGGCGACGACGGCCCTGGCGGGCATGCTCCCCCTGGAGCTCCTTGCCCTAATGTACCGAACGGTATATCGGAAAAAGGATGAGCTCCGAAGAGGGGAGTAGACGTAGCGCTCGCCAGGGAAATGCGGTGGATAAGGCACCAGGCTCGGCAGGACCTCTTCCTGAGGTGGCAAAGAAATCTGGCAAATGCCAGATATGGGAGGAGGTCCGTCGAGGCCATCCAGCCCTGTCTCCCGGAATGGGTGGACAGGGCATCGGGGACCCTGACCTTCAGAATGACGCAGGTACTCACCGGAAACGGCTGCTTCGGTGAGTACCTGCAAAGGATAGGTAAGGAACGCACAGCGCAGTGTCACCACTGCGAATATGACCACGACTCCGCGCAACACACGTTACAAGACTGCCCAGCGTGGGCAGCAGAGCGCGGAGTCGTGGTCAGGGAATTAGGCCTGGACTTATCGCTCCCCAGTGTGGTTGCGGCCATGCTGGGGAGTGAGAAAAAGTGGGAGGTGTTTGCCTCCTTCTGCGAAAGCATCATGGCGCAGAAGGAGGCGGCGGAAGAAATTCGCCGTCAGGCGGAGGGAAGGGGCAGGGTGTAACGAAGACGGCAGCGCCGTCGAGCCGAGCGCCGCTCCCCTAGTCGGGAAAGAGATGCGGACTCGTCCGAAGAAGAAGCGATTAGGGTCATGGTGGGGTTTCCCCCTCCACCACCCTAATCGCTATCCTATTACGCCTCCTTCTCCATTTCCACCCCCTCTTACATCCTACCCCTTCCCTACCCCTATCCAATCCTCCTTCCTTATTATGTTCCCTCACCATCGCTCAAGGAAGAGTCGTCCCCACCCGAGTAATGCCTCCACGCAAGGCAAAGCTCGGGAGGGGAGGGACTCAGTCGGGAGGAACGACGACGGCCAGTGCCTCGGCACAGGTCATCGCTGCCGTAAGGGCAGGAAGTAAAAGAGACTGGCGGGGGATGGACAACTCCCCTCCAGTCAACCTCCGATCCCCAAGACGGGAATCGGATGAGGTCGAGCGGGGGTAAGGTGAAAACAATTGTTGTCAAACCACCCTCCCCCGAGCCTCACTTGGTTCACACTCGTGGGAGTGTGGGTAGGAAGGAAGGGGGGCTAGCTTCTCCCTTGCCTATAAAACAGGCACATAAATGCCCGGCGGCTAGGGCATCAGATTTTTCCCCCCGTAACCGCCGGGCGGGAGGGTGGGACACAGGGCGGGGTCTCCCGGTGTCCCAACCAGCCCTCCCAACGTAGGGTGGCTGGCTGATTCGGTGGGTTAGTCAGCCACACAACGGTATTTTGGTGGCGTCCCGCCTGGGGGCTGGGAACGGTGGTTGAAGCACAGGCGTTTGCCTGCTTCCCCCCTTCTCAGTCACATAGGCGGGGCGAGAGGGTTGGAGAAAGGGGGAACGGTGGTTGAGGAGTGCCTCGGCTCGCCTCCCCCTTCCTCCATGGGGAGCGGCGGTTGAGGAGAGCTCAGGCTCGCCTCCCCCCTCCCCGCTCCAACCCTCAGGGACAGACGATGAGTCTATCCGGACTCGTAGCCCCAATTGCAGTTACGTAGGCACCGGGGCTCCGATCCAAGTCCCTTCGCAGCGCCACCCGGGGAGGTTTTAGCCGGTAGGAGTCCGGCATAACCCCGGCCCTTCCCCGAGGGTCAGGGTATTCATGATGGATTTCCTCGTAAAAAAGAAGAAAAAAGGCTAGGAGAAGGCCAGCACAGAGAATCGTGGGAGTAGGTGTGCGGTCAGTGAAGGAGCATGTTTGGACTCAAACGCAGAAGGATAAAGAAAGAGGACGGAAGCCTGTCTTAACTCAGACAGATGAAGAATAGATGTCGAAATGGGGGTTCTGGGAGCGGGAGGAGACGTCGAAGGCTGACGCCTCCACCCAGGCATACGGGTGGAGGCCCCTCGTCACGCATCTGCTTCAGGGAACGAGTGCGGCCGCGGTCTTCTCCCGTGTGAGCGGGGTGTGGGAGACCGCGGGGCAAAGGAAGAGAAAAAGGAGGAAAGGGGCTGTTGTTGGAGGTGCGCCGGAGGCCGTTTCGGCCAGGGACCCCCCACCAGCCCAGGTAAATATAGGAAGGGGGAATGAGGGGAGGAAAGCTCAGCCCCTCGACGTGGCCCCCAGGGACGTGGAGGTAGGGCAGAGGGAGGAAGGAGAGGAGGGGCGCAATATCCCTCCAATCTCTCCCTATGAGGGGTAAGAGATGGTCGCCGCTGCCAACCACAGCCGCGGTCACCGTGCGCCTTCCGGAGAGGGCCTTGTATGCTGAGGCCCTCAGGAAGGCAACTGATGAGATTCCCCTCGGGGGATCTATAGATCCCTGGCGTGGACGTCGGGAGGAGCGCAGGTGGCGTCCTCATTGTTCGCGTCAGGGACCCGGACCCCGGGGGGAACAAAGCCGATCGATTGGCCGATCGGCCCCGGGAAGTGTTGCCTGGGGCCACGATTGCGCGCTTCGAACAAAAAGGGGAAGTCCGCCTCGTTGAGTTTAACGAGGCGGCCTCCCTGGATGAGGTACGAACGGCTCTGACCAAAAGTGCGGGTTGCACAGCTGGAGCCGTTCAACTCAGCCCCCTCCGTTGGGGAGCAAGAAGTCGGGGAATGACGTGGGCCCGCCTCCCACTGGTGGCCGCTGTAACTGCGGCCAGGTAAGGAGGCTTCGCAATGGGGTGGTCCGCCGTAAGTGTGAATTTGCTGGAGGCAAGGCCACCCCAGTGCTTTCGATATTGAGGCCCTGGCCACACCAGGGTAAACTGCACGGCCGCTGTAGATCACAACGGCCTGTGCTTCCGGTATAGCCGGGGCGGGCACACCGCGCGGTCGTGCAGGGATGCACCGGACTGCGCGGCGTGTCGAGCGGCTGGACCCGAGGCCAGCTATCGAATGGCCGGTCCGGCCTGCTGGCTGGCCTTACAAGCGAAGGGGGCGGCGGGCACAGAGAGCGCCGTCGCGATCGTCCCCCCAACGAGGAGCCCATTGGGGGCAGGCGTGTTTCCACGGCTGCCACGGGGGATAGTTAGATGCCGTCGGTGAGACGACGGAGGTGGGCGTGGAAACACGTCAGCAGGTATGGGTTGACTCTGGGGAGCGTCAGGGGAGGGGGGCCTGCCCTCCCTGTGTCATGGGAGGGGAGGGTGCCTCCCGTGACGCTTCTTCGGGAATGCTGCGCGACCCGGAAGGGCGATAAGGGTCTTCCTGCCCACAGTTAAGTGTGGATGGGATTTCTCCCATCATGTCCGGGGGGAATTCTCCCCCTGATGCATGCTGCTCCTGGGGGGACGTTTCTTCCTCCTGCGGTGATGGAAGAATAAGGGGTGGCGGGACAAACCGGTGGGGGACGGACCCTGCCTGCCTGCCCCCCACCTCAGACTACCCGAGGTGGGGGTGAGGGAGTGGGGCTGGACACCCCCTCCCTCGCCGACCTTGTACAGTATTGGCCAGGAAGCCGGGCAAATGTCATCTTGCCCGGCGGTGTCGCGCGTTGCAACCTATGGGACGAAGCGCTCCCCGCACGGAATGGTGGTTAAGGAGGCCTCGGATCGGGGAGAGAATACAGGCGTAGTTCCCCTGACTCCCCCCACCACGGTCCAAACGGTAGGCACCCCGCAGGGGTTTTAGCAGGTACGAATCCGGCATAACCCCTGACCCCCCCAAGGGGTCGGGGGTATCCATGAGGATTTCCCCTGCGTGACCAAAAAAAAACAGGCTTAAGCGTGTCTGAGTTCAGCTCAGGCACGTGGAGGGACAGTCCTCATCTCGTAGGCTAACCCTCCCCTTCCGTGGGGATGCGGAGGCCTAGAAAAGGAGGAGGCATGATGGAACGGCGATCAAGGAGCCTTGATTTGCGAGATAGGGACGACTCTCCCTTCCGCTCCCCCCTTTTCACCCGCTAAGTCCCGTGACTCCGTGGAGTAGTGGCCCAGTTAACATGAGCTAGTGGGTGTGCTGAGGGAAGAAGCAATAGGGGACTAATCCGGAACCCAGCACCAGTACCCAGTGGCAGGTGTCCCCCAGGAGGTTTAATGGGTGCGAGTCCCACATAACCCTGCCCTCTTCCCCCAGGAAAGGTGGGGTATCCATAATGGATTCCCCCTGGGTCATAAAAAAGTGTTCGGATGAACGATATGACTATTTTTCTTCAGTCTAATTTTGACATTGTTTCTATTCACTATTTCTAATACATCGTGTGGCCCAGTATATTGTCCTGGCTGAATGTGAGGCATGGAGCCAGGAGCGCGGTGTTCTCGCCCGGGCAGTGGGGTGCGGGAAGCAAGATCTCGCTCCCGCGCATGGTGCAAGCCATGTGCGGGAGCGAGGAGGTATGGGGAGCGACGGCCTCCTTCTATCGCGATGTAATGTCGCAGAAGGAGGCCACCGAATGGGAGCGTCGCCCCGCAGACCGCCGCAGACAGCGGCGGGGAGGGCGGCGCTCCCCGGGTATGGACAGCGAACCCGAGGGGGCCGGCCGAGGAGGAGGATAGGCCACTGACTCGCCGGGGCCACCTCCTCGGCCGCCTCGGGCTCGTCTATGGACTTGCGGGAGGAGGGGGTGACGGGTGTTTGATACCCACCCGCCTCCCCCTTAGGCGTCGGATAGGGTAGGCGAAGGGGGAGTGGAAGCCCGGTTTGGGGCTGGGTTCGACTCCCCCGCCCCCTCCTTCGGAGGGGAGCGATGGGGGAGAGGAGTGAAGCTGGATATCCCCTCCCTCCAAGTACCAGGAGGCCCACCCGGCCAGGATACCGGTCAGGGGACCGCGCCCTGGACTCCCTCAGTGAGACAGGCGTGGCTCGAGGCGAGGGGCTCCCGGAGAGCCCTGGGGTCGGGGTGTTGGGGAGGTGTTGGGGAGGGAATACGGGAGTAATTCCCTTAACTCCTCTCATAACGGTCCGAATGGTGGACATCCTGCAGGGGTTTTAGTCAGTAAGAGTCTGACATAACCCCCGACTCCCCCCAAAGAGTCCAATCCATGATGGATTTCCCCTGCGTTAACAAAAAAGAAAAAAAGTATATTGATCTTCGAATTTTCCGGGTTTAGGTTCCCTTAGCAAGAAGACAATCTCCCGGTTTAAAAGCCTGAGGATTAATTTTTTTATAGTAATAGCCTTTAGATTTTATTCGACTGACTCCGGCGTCAGTCAGATTGTCATTTTTTGTAATTGCATTTTATGTAATCGAATAAATAGCTGTATCAAGTAATCATCATATATTTTTATTTTGTCATCCTCGAGTAGTGGTTCGTTTGACGGCATTCTCGCGGGTCTATCGGAAACTAATTCGTATGGTGTATGCTTAGTGGCTTCATGTATGCAAGTATTGTAATTTTGTATCGCTAAATCTACCCATTCGTCCCATTCCTTTTCATTGGTTGCGTATTGTTTCAAATATTCTCCTAGTGCGTGGTGAGATCTATTCAAGGAACCGTTTGATTGTGGATGGAAAGCAGTTGTATGAAACCTTCGTATTCTGTAGTATTTTGCTAATTTTCTTATTAGATCGCTGATGAAATTTCTTCCTTGGTCGGTGAGCACGGCTTCAGGTGGTCCAAAAATAGCGATAAATTTCTTCACGAGTTTAT